TTCTTCTTCTGTGATATGTTTCCTGCTCTAACTGGTAAGTTGTAGAATGAGAATTGTAGTAGGAGTGTATTACTGATTAATATGTGTTGTCTACTGAGGAATTCCTGGCTGCAATGTCAGAATGGATAATGCCCTGCCTTAAGGTGAAACAATTTGCAGAATTATCTTTGGAAACACCCACTTGTCCATTGTAGAGTTGAAATCAAAATGGAGTAAACATGGCTCATTGCTAACTGCAATTCTTTTTGCCTTTATAACTCCTGCTTTACTTGCTTAGCTAACAAACTGTGTGAACTTGCAGGCCTAATGGCCAACTAGTGCCAATGGTCCCAATCCCCATAAACTAAGACTTATTAACACATAGATAATTCAAGGTAGGGGTCTGGTTGTCACAGGCGGTGCCAAGGTCAGAGCCCAGACCTGAGGAGAGCAGGCAGGGGCTGGCAAGCCGAGGTAAGCAAGGAATGCACAATCCTTCCTCATTCATCTCTCAAGCTGTTGTAAATTGTGCCCCCCTTGAAGCTATGTCAAACTGTCCCTAAAGAAAACTTTGTAATTGTACTGTTCGGGGTGGTCAAGTGGATGCAACACCATGACCTAAAAGGTCTGTGCAAGAATTTGTGACTGCTTCCGTGTAAATAAAAGGACAGCTTTCTTGCATTGTCTGTTATGATCTTAAAATTGGAGTGGTCTGTTTCTTCTCTCTCTACGCCTATTTCACACATCCGTCTTGAGTTCCAAACTCAGCTGGAGCTAGCCTCCGGCAACTTACAGATTCCATGGTCCTGTATCTCTGGTTCTGCACTCTCTCCATTTCCTTGGCTATTCACACTGTGCCTCTGTCTGTCACTTTTCTTTCCCATGCATTTGTCCTTTCGGAAGTACTCTCCATGGCATTTTCTATGCTTGGACACCGTTTTCTTATAATATCTCACATATGTCCCTCAAATCTCACTTTGAGCATCCCTCTCTTGGACACACTTTCTCAAAGCCACAGTAGGAGACAGGCTTCCCTGTGATAGCTTTCCATAAACTGTATTGCTGTTTTAAATGTGTGCGACCACACATGCACACACGCACACATGCACACACACACAGTAAAATATGGTTTATAAACAGTGAAGAATCTTTCACCCAGAAGTTTGCTATTGTTGAATGTGCTTTGCAAAAATAGTTGTTGATTTGGACCACTGTGTTTTCAGCATTTATAGATGTTTTCATGTTCACTGTATCCTACAGATATCAAAACGTCATTGATTCAGCCATTTAAGAGCTGCTAGAATGTCTTCCAAAATGATGATTCCATTTTTGTTCCTACTGACTTTAAATAAATGTTGCTGTGCATCCTTGCTGGATTTTTTGAGTTTTGCCCTTGTTTGGATTTTCAGCTGTCCTGATGTATGTACAGAATCATCTCGTTATTGTTTCAACCGGAAATGTCCTAATAGCATCAGATGTCAAGCACTTTCATTTGTTTGTCGTCTTCTTGGGAAAGGCATACTTTCAGATCTTTTGCCCATTTGTAACTGGGCTATATATTTCTGATTATTGAATTCAAAGTCTTCTATGTATATTTAAATAATAGCATTATTAAGATATAATAGATTTGAGAATAATTTCTTTGAAATCTCTATTACTATTGACCCCAAGATCTGTTCAACAGCTAGCACAATGCTCACTCACATAGACTCCTGGGACTGAGGAACAGTGACTGTTGCACATTGAAAACAGATACACATGTTCATTAAATATCAAACTGTTTCTACTTAACAATACTACTGCTAATAAGCAATAATATTGTTAATATGTTGTTATTGTTATAACATAATAAATAATATACACTTATATATTTGTATGTAACATATATACAATTATAATAAAATTGTAAATAACATAAAATAATAAAAAATATATATAAATAAAAATATATATAAATAAATAAATATATATAAATAAAAAATATATATATATAAATAATATACATATTATAATAAAATTGCTAATATGTTGCTAATATAACAATAGTATTGTTCATAGTCCCAGCAATATTGTACCTTGAAATAATCTATTTGTCTTTGGAGGTTTGGGATTATTCTTGACTGTCATTCTAATCCACATTGAATACACTGACCTTGAACAAAACCTATAATGTATAAAATTCTCACTGAACTTTAGCTGAATACATAATGCAGTATATTTAAAGACCTAGTGATGAATATGAAAAGTTTAAATGTTTTAAAACTTTCAAATGAAATTATTTAATCCAGAAAACTTTAATATAGAAATCTAAAATAGGCAAAGAGGGATGCCATATGTATCTTTAAAATTAAATGTAGCAAATATATTTATTGATCACACATTGTATGTAAGGTACTGTAGTAGGGATAAATGTTTACTTTGTACAATTTTGTAGTTTTTTAATCAAACACTGGCAAATTTAGACTCAGTAAAAAAAAATCACTTTTTCAAAGAATTGTCAATATAAGGAGATTTAAAAGCATCTGCCCTTGAATATTTAATATTGCATTATTCAGCTTCTGAAATATATTCACAAATACTACCTTCAATTAGTCTCCTATAAAGGAAAATATTTTAAAGAGCAAGAAATTTAATCAAGATATCACAATAGGTAAAAGAAATATAATGCAGTTTATTTCACAACTAATGGTTATTCTGCTCACTCATTACTAGAATAGAAGAGACTTAAAAATATCAGAAAATGATGAAAGGATGAAACCCTTGTATTAAAGGCAGGAGAATGCAAACTGTTTACCTGTGTATGTGTGTGTGTTTCTAGAAAACTATTAAATTACTAATTTTGCATTCTTGCTCACTTACACCAGTTGTGTTTGAAGGAAAGTTAAATTGCACGAGAATTTGACCAAAGGCAGCAAAAAAAAAAAAAAAAAATCAGCAAGCTTCATTGAGATTAAATGCTTCTCAGAAGCTCATAACGGAACAAGTCAGACCATTGTGGTCATTTATTTTTTTTTATTGTATCTATTTATCAAATTCCTTTTAAATCCTCACTGTATTCTTTGTATTACTAAGTTTTCTTACTCTGTCAGTGAAAAAGTAACTTTACATGGTGCAATTTTTCTTTGAAATATTACCTTGTCTGGACATTTCTTCATTTCCTGTGTCATTCTTTCTCATCATTCTTTAAGTGGTTTTAATGGTGGTATTAGGGGAAGCAAAAATGAAAGAAGACAAAAGGAAGGAAGGATTCATCTATTGTGTTAAGTTCTTCAAACTTCATTACACAGTGTCGTACTGGAGAGGAGTGTCATTTAAACAATTTCGGTGGTTGATAAAATGACTTGTAGGTTTCTCCAGGAATAATGATATTCTTATTTATACAGGTTGCATGAAGTTTAATTACTCCATTGTAATTTGTAATAAATGATTTAGCATATGCATATATTAACAAAAATGTTTGCAATTATATGTTTTCATATATTATTACTGTGTACAATGAAAAGACAACTATAGCATGTGTGTCAAATTTTAGGAATGAGAATGATGTAGTCACGAAAACAAATTACAGACGTTTCCCATGACAGTTTGTATCTGAGCTTTTAGACGCTGCAGTATGATTACTTTTGCCACAGAACATTGAGCTAGACACCTTATTTAAAGACAACAAATGTTACAAAGAGTAATCATTTACTGAATTAAGAAGATATAACATAGAGTTACTAGCTAATGAAAGTATAGTGGAGTGGCTGGATTTAGGTTCTTGTCTCTAACACAATAAAGAATTCAAGGATAAGACACAAATACGGCCAGCAGAGAAGCAAGAGTTATTGCCACGCAAAGCAAAAGCAAGTGCTCAGGAGTGGATGTGGCCATGCTCAGAAGACGGCTGCACTCAATGAGGTTAGGTAACACATAGCAGGAGTATGTGGGGTGGGCTGTAACTGAATCATCCCGAGAGTAGATCTGAGAGCAAAGCTTGAGTACATCCCATTTTTTAAAATCAGTTTTGAAAACTGGCAAGTGCCATGGCATTGGGTGTGGGATGGGATGGTTCTGTCAGTATGATAGTTATTTACTCACATTAAAATGAGCCAAAGCTTATTGTGGGGATGCAGTTAGCCACCATGTTGGCTGTGGGAGGGAGTGCTTCTGAGCGCTGATGTGGGGGAAGCTGCCATTTTCTGCTGCATGGTAAATGGGGAGGTGGGGTGGGTTATTTTGGGCAGAACAGACAGGGATGCAAAGATTGTTCTGTGGCCTAAGCTTCCCTTTGGAGCTGCTCCCTTGCCTACATCTGAAAGGGAAATTAAGTCATATACAATAATTAAAACTGGCTATATAATACCATGAAACTCTTTCTAATGTACTCAACTTAATATGTAAAACTTTCTTATATCATAGTTGAATACTAATTAATGTATGATCTTAAAAACATATATCGCATGTCGTGATACATTTAAATAACACAAAGTTAATCTCGTAACTGTTACTAAGGGACTATACCACTGTAACCATTTGGGGGATAATAGCCAGGCATGGGGCTGGAAAACAGGAAGAAAGTAAAAGGAGGGAAGGGAATGCCCCTGTACCCATAAAACTCTATCATGATAAATAACAACTGCATTTTAAGGATTAAAATCTACAACAATAAAAAAATGAAAACTGGAAGCTCAAAAACAGATTTTACAAATTGGTTTTAGTGCATCTGAGAAAAAGGGAGAACTGCCATCCATCTGCTCATTCTTCCAAATACACTGAATAAAAATGGATGGACAAGGCTAAAACGAGGAGGCAGGAATCAGGTGAGACAGGGTGCACAGTAGCAGAAATCTGAACTCAGAAGTGAAGGTACTAAAATGCCATCACTTTCATATTGCCTCAGATACATATATATATATATATATATATGATTTTCACATCATAGTTTTACTGGCGGTCTGTAGATATTATGAGCATTTTAAAACAAATATTTAAGGTTCCAGATTAGCAAATATATCATTATATGCATTTACAACCAAATGAAAAAAATCCAAACCAAAAAATGTTTACAATTTGCATGTCATCCTTGCACAGAGGCCATGCTAGTTTCTGTACTATTCTAATTTTAGTATATATGCTGCTGAAGTTAGCACCAAACTATAAAATCTTGCAATACAATGAATTAATCACAACTTGACACAGGAGCTGACACTGTGGCACAGCGGTTTGCGTTGTCACTTTAGACATCCACACTCTGCACTGGAAGTCAGCTCAAGTCCCAGTAGCTTTGTTTCCTGTCAAGATTTTAGCTCATGCCTTAGAGCAGGCAGTAGATGATGCAGATGATGGCTCAAGTGGATGGGCACCTGCCAGTTCAGGTGAGAGATCCATATGGAGTTTCTGGCTCTTGGCTGTTTGGGCCATGTTTTGAGTGAACCAGTGCCAGATTTTCCCTCTCCCTCTCTCATTTCCTGGTTTGCTCTGATTTTCTGGCAGTTTTCAGAGTTACTACATATTATAACCACACCTAGGACATGTAAAACAACGTGTTTTAGTATCCCAAGTATATCTTTATGTTTCCTCTAATTGCTGCTCTTGCCCCCAAAACATGATCATGATTTTGGTTTTCTAACAGCATAATTTTTGGCTATTTTTGGACCTTACATAGGTAGATTCATATTATAAATGTGCTTGAATACCCTAATCATCTCAATATCTTTCAGAATTAACTGTCTTGATGTGCAAATCAATCAATGCTATCTGCCACATTTAGCATTGAAAAACAAAACACACAATGCCAAGTAATGACACAAAATTCAACATTCTTTCATAACAAAAACTCTCAGTAAACTGGGTATATATAAAAAAAACTTACTTCAATACATTAAGTCCAAATATAAAATTCATATTACTAGTGGATAGAGAAAATCTGTAGACTTTTTAAAATAAAAAGTTGACCCTTATATTCACAACTCTTCAACATTAATATGAAAGTTTGAGTGCTGTCAGAATACCAATAATTCTGGCTTGTTTTAAAACAAGCATACAAATTAATGGGATAGAAGATAAAGCCAACAAATACATTCAAATATTTAAAGTCAATCAATCTTTGGCAAGGTTGCTAAGACAGTACAATAGTGAAAGGATTATCTCTTTAGCAGGTGGAACAGAAAAAAAAATGGCTGCTTACCTTGAAAAAGCGTGAAAGTTGACCCTTGCCTCACAAATAACACAGAGGGAAACTAAAAAAGGGTCAAGAAATTAAACTTACGACTTACAAAACTCCTAGAAGATAAGACCATCGATATTTTCTTCACAATCATTTTATGGCTGACACCAAAGTGCAGGTAAAGGTAAAGACAAACAAGTTGAGATTACATCAAACTGAAAGCTTCTGTGTTGGAAATGAACCGGTCACCCCAATAAAATGGCATTCTGGGGGAGCAGCACAAAAAAACTTGAAAACATGCATTATGATGAGTTAATCTGGAAAACATAAAAATAACTAACAAGCTCAGTAATGAAAATACAAGTAACTTCGGAGTGGCGAGATGTCCCACTTGGCTATTCCTCCTTCCGCAGGTGACAGCAACCTGTATGGATACTGATTTGTGTCCTTGCTACTCCACTTCCCATCTAGCTCCATGTTTGTGGCCTGAGATGGCAGGAGAGGGTCGCCCAAAACCCTGGGTCCCTGCACTCGCTTGGGAGATGTAGAGGGGGCTGCTAGTTCCTGATACCTGGCTGCTGGCTCTTGACTCCTGGCTTTAGATTGGCTCAGTTCCAGCCGCTTTGGCCATCAAGGAGCATGTGGATGGAAGATTTTTCTCTCTACTTCTCTCTGTAAATCTACCTTTCCAATAAGAATGAGTGAATCTGTAAAAGAAAAATAAAAAGCAAATAACTCAAAAAAGTGCCAAGAAATGAGCATTTGACAGAATGGCTGTAGCATCAGTGGCATAGGTTTTGTGACCTGGTTCCATTTGAGTCTCCAGCTCGCTGCTAATGTAGACTGTGGGAGGCAGAGGTGATGGCTCAAGATTGGCTTACCTTAAAAAGTTTTTCCATTATATAACAGCTGATTTTCTATAATATATCTTTAGCACATATTTTACGGAGACTCTACTGCTGCTTCTTTTAGGTTAAATAAAATTATTTTGCATCGGTTTTCTTCCTCTTGGTTTATTACCACATTTTTAGAGTTTGACTCTCCTAGTTACCCCTAGAACACTCATAGAGCCCAAGAAGTTATGAAGTAGACTGTTACGCTTCTTGTTCTCAAGTCACCATTGCAAGTTAAGAATTACTATTTTCTCTTTACAAGATGTGTGATTGGCAGATAACTCAAATCCGTCCATTCCAGAATCACTGGAAGCTGCTGAAAACTCACACACTTTTCTGACATAGTAGGTACAAACCTAACTACTTGAGCCATTAACATTCTCTCATTTGTCTGCAATATATGGAAACTAGAGTAAGCAGCCAAAACTGAGAGTTAAACGTAAATGCTCTGGTGTTGGAAATGAACATCATAGCCACCATCTTAACACTAAGCCAAACACCTCGTCCATTTCTTAAAGATATTTTTGCTCATCTGTATGAAGATGACTTTCATTAATACTTTTTTCAAAATAACTTTCTGTTATTACATTTAAGATTAAGTAGATTCTTGCCTGAGTTATTCTAGGAGCATAAAAGCAATCATATGGTAGACTAAATATTATAGGTGTAAGCAACATTCTTTGGGGTTTTGGCACAGTGGTTTAAGCCTTCAGTTGCATTTCTGGGATCCCATATCTGCATGCCTAATCAAGCCCCAGCTATTCTGTTTTCAATTCAGCTTCTCACTGGTCTGCCTAGACAGGCAGTGAAACATGTCCAAGTGCCAGGGCCCTCATGCCCATGTGGGAGCCCGGGATGTTATTCACAGCTCCTGGTTTTAACCCAGCCCAGACCTAACTATTATGCCATTTTGGAGTGAAACTGAGAGTTAAAGATATCTTTCTTAATCTAATTGTTTCAAATAAATAAACATGAACTTTTAAAAAATGTCTTTTGTGTCGAATATATCTTTCCCTTGTTTAATTTTAGTATTATTACAAATATTTCCATTTTTCAGTGTTCTCTACATTTAATTGAAAGTTCTGTTATGATGCCATTATTAAAATCATTTCCCCAAACTTTCAGTATTATTATTATTCTTATTTCTGAATGCAGGAAATATTTATACAAAAAACTTATTTTCAATGAAAATATTAGACTCTTTGCAGAAAAGAGAAGGTGACAGACATATAAATTAATAGAGCTTAATAATTTCATTTTAACATAAGCAGCTTATACTTTTCTTATGTGCCAAATATATTTTTTACTAATATTAGAGAAAAATGAAGATTGAGTTATTTTCTACTATTGCTTTGATCTTGATATTTAGCTATCCTTATGATAATCAACCTGTTACTATCACCTCATAGGGTGCAGTGCCCAGTCAGGTATAATTTATTTGTTGTGGTGTTATAGTGTCATTTATGTATTTTTTATGTTGTCTAATATTTTAGTAAGCATGATTGGCTTACTTGTTTTAATATCCATAGTCCTTAACTTTCAATGGTTCAGTTTATATGCCTTTCTAATTTGTAATGATTCAAAAGCAATACTTATGAAGTATAGTAAGGACTCTGAATTTGAGCTTCGAAGTGCCTCCCTTGACGTGGGGTGGTAACGGGGAGGCAGGCACTCAGGGGAGTAAAGAATGCATTTGTCTACTGTGCTGTGTTGCCCGGTTATGATATTCAGTAGGGTTGTTGTAATTAAATGCATTTTGACTTAGACTATGAGAAACAGCCATCTTCTGACTTGGAAGACGGATCTATCAGACTGCACCCCATCACAAGTCAAGGAGCTTCTGCACTTTCAGTTTTTTTTCCTGATACTACAGCTGATAGTATCAGTTCATAATCTGTTTACTTTTTCAAATTTTATTCGTTAGTGCTCATGACACTTTATCACTTGGATGTCCTATAGTTAATTACATATAATTTATTATTGAGCTACCATCTACTTATTGGGAAAAATTTTTTCAAACTAAGACTTTTTGGGGAGGAATATTCATTGCTACAGCAAATGCACTGCTTCTCATGAAAAGAAATTCACATTTGTGTGTGTACATACGTGTGTGTGCGTGTGTGCGTGTGTGTGTGTGTGTGTGTGTGTGTGTGTGTGTGTACCTCCCTGTCTCCCTTATGGATGGTTTTGTACTAGCGTATTTTCAACTGTGGGGCATAAAGCTAGCTCATGAATTGTTCACATTTTGCCTAAAGTAGAGTTAAAAAGGGCAAACTGATGTCACGAATACATTTATATGAAACTATTAATAATAAATTGATTCTGCCTGTGGAACTCAGGGTCTTATGAAACTAAGCACAAAACTTGCCAATTCTCTACTTAAAAAAAAAAACGTTCTTCCAGAACAATAACATACATCATTTTAATCTTTGTAGTAGCTGTTCAGGAGAATAACAAGGAAATTAGAGTCAAGCACTTAAAATGTTTTCTATTATATGTTGTTATAAAATGAACAGAGAACATCCATTAGCTTCTATTTCAACATCTTGTCCTTATTTAGTATCTATGCTGATAAAATAGTACTATAAATTGACATAGAACACTAAAGATGTTTTATGGAAAGCACAATGAAAGTAAGAAAGAAAATTTCATACATAATCTTCCATTTAATAGATTTCCTACAACTTTTTATTTTTATCATGTGTTTAAGAAGCATTTGTGTAAATGCTTCCGTGTCTAGATATACATCATATTTGGATATTTGTGAAATGCTTCACCTTTGAATTATTTTTATCTTGTGTAGCATGATAATAAAATAAAAATACAAAATTTCTATTAAAACGAGTGACTTCAATGTACTAATTTAGTTCTACTAAGCCTGACAATCTCTAAGATGACCAGAACAGCATTTTAAAAGATATTTCCACCAGGACAGAGACAAACGACAGGAACGAGCACCATTGTGTTTGTTGGAATCTGCAAAGGAAACGAGATGAAGTCCACCTTCCTTGAAGCAAAAGCTCTGAATTGCAGATAAAAACGCAATTCACACCACAAAACTCTCAAACAGCAAGTAGAATGTGGGTGACAG